TGGAAAGTTCAGTAATTATACACAATACTTCATAGATACGTCAGAATCTATAAAAACTCTACACTTTGGCAGATTAATGTCAAATTTATGCCTTGAGCCAACATGGTTGTCCACTTTTCAATTCATAGTCTAAATTATCCTCCTTAAGGATTTGCCTTCGGCTATAATTCCAATTTAATATCTTTCTTCATATGAGTTCTTGCGGAGTATAGAATTAGTTTAACACATTTGAATATATATTTTTTAGAAGATTTTAACATTTCAGAGTCTTCATTTGACCTGTTTTTCCCCAAATTATGAAGTGCTCGGGCTATTTAAGATGTTCTGCAGTGTAATAGGTTCACAACAATTTCGAGCAGCATCACAGGCTAAATGTAGAGCAAGAGTGGTTGAATGACAGTGTAGGAAAATCACTGCCTTAATAGAATGTTCGGGATAATCTGACAAGCCCAATATCATAATTACTGTTGCCCTTGCAGCTCTCATATTTTAATTATGCTTCATATTTTTCTAGGGAGAAGATGTTTAATTAAAAAAAGAAACAAGTCGTGAATTCATATATCTGTAAATCAAAGACATATCATGTAACTCTATCATAACTGGTAGTTAAAGTCCAAATCTTTTGTTGTTGTTGGTTTTTTGTTCATTTTATTTCCTTTTAATTCTGATTCATCCTGTACCCTTAGCATGAAGTACCCCAAAACACTTAACAACAATAATTAATAAAATATCAAAAAAAGAATGAATTAAAAACACAACTAAAAATTAAATCCTTAACTTGACGTTAAACATGATCAAGAACTCATCCAGAAGAATGTTGTACAAATATTTAAGAAATGAAATGTAGTTATCTGTACATCTATACCAATGGCTGTTTACAACAGTTCTTGTCCAATAAATATAAAACATAGTGAAGAACCAAAGCAATGAAACCAAGTAATCCTAAAAAATCCATGTGGAAAAGATCAGCTTCATATGCCTCTGTGAAACTCCTCATTTCAAAGGACTTAGCTCCTGTTAAGTCTGAAACTACCTTATTTCCAGGAAACTTTAATACCCTTTAATTCTCCTTTTTTTTTTTTTGCATGTATTAACATGGAAAATAAACAGCTAAAATTGAGAATACAGAAATCAATATTTTAAGTATTGGAATGAATTCCATGTCATTGTATGGTTCCTGCATAATTAACTATTTTTGTCTCTTCTCCTCTCTTTGCTACTCCCATGACTGCGTCTGCACTCTGGGGCAACACAGCGAGGGGCGCAGCACACCCTCACTTCCCTGCGCACCCTGCCTGCATCCTAGCCCCAGCGAAGGCTTCCCTCTGATGTGCAATCCGCAGTGCTCAAGTGCCAATAAAAGCATGGCTATAGAGCAGCCCCGCTGGGAAACTCATGAGCTGTTTGGGATCAGGAGCCTGAAAGAGCTTAGAAATAACAAAAATTTCCACAAAATAAATTTCATTCATTTTGAAACTAATTTTTTATCTTTCCCTTCCCAGTGCAAATTCACCTATCAGACTTTTCATTTTGATATGGAATTCTTGGTTTTCCACCTGAAGGTTTATCTGGCAGCCTGCTATTTTAAACAGAAGAACTATGCACTGCTAAATTCTACTTAAGACCCTGAAGGTCACAGGAGTATAGTGGAAACAAAAGCTTTCTCCTCACAGTTTTCAGTTGAGGCAAAAAAGTGAAGGAGCAAACATGGATGTATAAGGAATTAATAGAACTATAAAATTATTATTAAAACAGAAGCCAGATAAGACCTGTGCCCGATAAAGTGTAATAGATGAAAGAACACTTGTTTCTTGTTTGCGACCCTGTCTATTGAATTTTGCAGAACAGGAAGCACGAGGGAAACTCAACTGTGAGTGCCAATATTTTCCTTCTGTTTACTACGTCATCGTAGTTCATCCCCCTATGGCCTGATGGCTTTCATTTGATGTTTTTTATCAAGACTGTACTCAACCTAAATTGAAATATTTTGATCTTTTTGAGCCTGATCTAACTAAAAAAGAATGATACTAAACTTCAGTAGAAAGGTTAGAAAAACTTCATTCCTTGTAAAAAATCAGGAGGCTAGCTAGCCATAAGCATCTGTAAAATAATAATTTCTCCAAATGTATTCTTTACAAATCTGTCACCTCTAATCAAATAACACTGAACTTTGATATTTTGTTGTTGTTAATCTTGGACCAAATTCTATTCAATGTTATTTGTTCTAAAACATCCATTCTTTGTTAATATTCTACTCAATGCTAAACATGCTTGAGGCAAATGCAGAGAAAAAGGATAAACAAGACAAGACTTACTGCTGCTCCTGACTAAATGCTACTGTAACTGCAAATAATATGGCAGAGCGGACACTTTCAAATAAACTGTGATTTCAGCCACAAAGCCCTAGCACTGGTGTAATGAATAAGATATCTATTTGACTTCTAAACTTAGGAGATCTGTAAATAGGAATGTGCACAGTACAGTGAATGATTAACCAGCCTGTGTATTAATACTTATTATATGGACAAAGCGCTGCTTCTTCTGGAAAATGAGCAGGTCACCAACCACCACCTTGATTAGATATACCCAGGAATTAGAATGTTCATTAAGAGTTTACTCTTCATCGGCATTTGAGACCCTCTTTCTCTCAATACCTCCCACAGGACTGCATGTGCCAAATTCCTACTGTAACTTGAGCTACTTACTACATGAAGCCTTGAGAATGCAAATTCCACTTAGCTTTACCTGCAGATTATTTAGGTCCACTGACAGTACTTAATATGGCTTCTTTTCCCAAGACCTTGACTTGGGAAATGACCATGATCATGACCATGATTTTCAGAAATAAAAAATAAACATTTTGAAGTTGAAGGCTAGAATTATGTTGTTCACATCGAAGAACAGTTAAAGTTCTGAATGAACCCATAACTTTATCCTGGAGATATTTCATACAGTTTTAAGCTTAGTTAGATAAACTGTAACAAAACAGTGTTCGTCATTAACGCAAAGAAGAAAAAGTCTGTGGATCTTGTGAAAAGAATTTGAACACCTTATTTTGGGGTGCTCATAAGGAAAGGAGAAGCTATTTCAGAGCTGACGCTAAAATAGGATTAAAAGAAAGTACAGCAGAGAGATAGAAGGTGCATTTGGACTGTCAGTGCAGATTCCTAACTCAGGTGGCACTGAATTAGTGCATATGTGATCCAGAACAGGAATTTGCAGGCTCCCTTCACAGCCAATGGAAGAAACTCAGAGAGATGATATAAACTTCACTCTAAATATGTCTGTGGAGCTCCAGTGCATTAAATGCACATTCTTGACCTCTTAAACGAGGCAACACAAGACAGTAAGTATTGGGATGTGTTTGAACAGGGGCATAACTCAATGTAGCAATAGTAAGTACCTTGCTGCCTTTGCAATTCCAACTGCTAAATTCACATCTGAGTACAAAAAAGCTAATGGAGGTGAAACTGCATCACAACTGGGAATTCTGGGAAAACAGCTGGGTTTTTTTGTTCTTTGTTCCTTTTTTTTAATAACTGTGTGTGTAAAGCACTTGCCAAGAAAATGGGTAGGCCTCCTCAACTTCTCATTGGAACTTACTATTGCCTCAGTCTGCAAGGGTACCTGGGATGGAGCTGTTCTCCCTTCTAAGGAACTGGATCATGGCATAGAGAAGAAATGCAAGAGCTATGCTCCCAGTGAGAGAACATGAGTTAAGCAGTTGACTCCTATAGATACCCGCTGAGAGTCAGGGATCCTTCAGTTTGGCCTTCATATCCACTGCAGTGTATGCATTTATCCAAAGACTTTAATACAAAATACATAATTTATCCTTCAACTGAGGGCTAGAGTCCAAGACTGTCTTTCACACTGCTCAGGAAAAAAATGTCATAAGGAAAGCAAATAATTGCTTTGGACAAGCTACCGTCACAGAAAATAGGAATCTTCTTGTTAATTAGTCACAGTTTGTCAAAAAGTGTTTTAAAGCAGACAAACAGAAAGCTGGGAACATCTGGAAACAAAAGCCATAGGTTGGACCTACAGCATGGGAGATTCTCTCCTGGGAAGCAAATATCTATAGAAAAGCACAGGTCATTATGATCTGGCCAGTTTTGTTGCACATTTATTAATCAGATAGAAAAACACAATCCTGGAAATCAGATCTCTCAGGTTCTGCCATAAAGGCATTTACAGGATTTAGAAGGAATATAGAGTACCTAAGTAAATAAGAGTAGTTAGATGACAGCACTGAGGAAAAGCTTTCTGTTATAGTTGGTTGCCAGCACTAACTTTCCTCTTGCAGTGAGGAAATTTCATACCCTTACATGCTTTGAAGTTTCTGACATTTATTCCTTCTGCTCCCTAGAGACACATGCTGGCAATTCCTCCTCCCTGTTTGCAATAGCAGTAACCTGAAGTTAGATGCCTAAGAAGGTATTAAGTACACGTAAGGAATGATTTTGCTTCTATACACAGCATTTTCAAAATTTCTATGTGAACATTATCTCTAGTTCTCATAGGCTTGGAAATAATAGACAGAGTTCATATGACAGCCAGAGATTCAGCAGTTAGAAAACCAACCTTACAAAATTAGTCTTAAAGAGTACAACATATCCAAATTATCAGAACAAAAGTTGTGAGATGACTTGATTGCTATATATAAGTGCTGAGTAGTAGTAATGCTGTTGTAATTGTGATAGTCTAAAGATATGGAAGATGCAAGGTTTGCAGGCCAAGGCGATAACTTCATTAGGCCAGATGGCATAGCTGGAAAAAAGTGCAAACTTCTGGGCATACAGCTTTTCAACAGGTCAATGAAAATCAATCTTCCATTAGAGACTTATTCAGAAGACATATATGAAAAAGGGACACTTTTCAGTCTTACTGAGAAAAGCACTGCAAAAGGAAGACTGGAAGTTGAAGTTAGACAAGTTCAACCTTCCCATAACATTGCAATTTCCTAGTGCTGAGGGAAATTAAATATTGGAATAGCTTACCAGGGGAGCCGGTGGACTCGCCATCGCTTGGAGCTTTAGGACGAGATTAGATATCATTGTAAAAGAGGTGCTTTAATCCAGCTTCGGGAAGTTCTCAACATGCCCATAACACTTGCAGCTCTGCATTAAGACAATGACTATAATCAAATCTCATACTTTAGGGTTTCAGCTGGTCAACTGCAAGGGTTATAAAGAATTTATTTTCATCTTGACACACAATCAGCCAGATATTTTGTTAATGGTGTATATATGCTGATCTATCTCTGAAGTATCAGAGATCTACAGAGAGGACCCAGGGGGAGCTGACCTAGTGCCCAATGGTGATAGGGAAGGTACTTGTTCCCAATCTGAAATTTGCCAAGCAGTCTTTCTTACCCTAATGTGAGCTCACTTTGTTTGAACTTGATGCAAACCACCTCTGAACTGGGAACTATGTGGCCAGGTCAGTGCAGAGCTAATTTTGATCTGTGTGCCCAGTTAAGAGGCCTGGCACCAGTTCCAGCTCAGCATTGCACTAATGCAGTTACGTGACTTTTGGAAGGGAGCTGTTTCATGCTTTGCCAGAGTTTCACGCAGTGCCAGAGCACTGGCACCGCATCAGAGTAAAATCTACTGGATCGCCTTACCCTTAGAGGTCTTGTTAATGAATCTTGCTGGGTTGGGTGAAACAGAGTACTTACTTATCCCAAGATTCGATAAACAGAAATCTCAATTTAATTTGTTTTGTGCTTGCTCAATGTGAGATCCAAATCATCTGTTAATATGCTAAGATCATCTGGACATATATCATCTAATTAACTCTTTGCTATTGAAGAGGCAGAAGTAACACCTCAGTCTCTTCTGTTGTCACCTAAGTGTCCCTTTTGGCCTTTAATACAGTTACAGCTGTAATTATACAATCATCTGCACTGTTTTAGTCATGATAGTTATTAAATGTAAGTAAATCTAGACACAAGACAGGACATTTTACTGATAGGACATTAGGCAAGATAGGACACTACAGATGTGTCAGAAAAGGGCATGTCTCAACTCTGCCAAATAAAGGAGTAAGGGAGACATGGTGATTTCTGAGTTGCAGAATGGTGTGTCCCGTTCTATGAGTCTCCAGATTGAGAACTATTTAACCCAGATCCGTATTTCCAGGCTTTTCTTCTTCATAGCTACACATGCTACTCTCATACATCTCTTTTATAGTGAATTAGACGCAGAGAGATCTCTGTCTGTACTAACCAACGGGCCATTCAATTAAATTGTGTATACTTAGACCTGGAACGTATTTGGTCTCTTCAGGACATTTTCAATACAGAATAAAGATGGTTTCTCCTTCCTATAATTCTGTACGACACATATTAGTCCTGAGGCTCTGTTGTCAGTATCAGTTAGGATCATTATTTTAAGACTGCCATATTTCAAAATAAGACTGAGATACACCATAAGACTACCTAGTACCATAAAAGTAGGTTCAATAAAAGGAGGGGAAAAAAATCAAAGATATACTGATGCTGCTTCTCGATTTCTGTCTTGGTGATACATGTATATATTTGGCAGCAGAGAATATTAAACTGATCGTAAAGACCATATTTACAAGATGGCCATCTTAAGCAATACATTATTCCATGAGCACTCCTACTCAAAACAATGCGGACTACTTGGAGTAAGAGTCTCCCACCCTAGGATGGAAACGGTAAAACCTGCACATATAGTGTGTTGACTTCTCACACAGACATCTTTTTGGTGTGTTCCTTTAAGAACAGAAAGGCTTTGAGAGCACTACAAAAAACTTTCATGACAATGAACTTTTAATCTTTCTTTGGTCCTTTGTTATACCGAGATTCCTGTAGCATACCAGTGACCACCAATACCCAATGCAGTAACATTTGGAAAACCTCAAATAAACCTACTCTCCAAGACTTTTTAAAGAATGCTGTTTCAAAGGACAATTGAAGGAGGACTATTTTATTAATAGATTAATTATATAATTATATAATAAATTCAAACACTTTTGTAATATTGATAAATATGATCACAAATTTTGGTTAAAAATTCCTTGGGATACTTAAATGATGTCTTACTTTTCGCAATCATCTGGTTTATTTTCATTTGAAGCATTATTCAAAAGACAATTTTGAGTACAAGAAAGCATCTAGACATTTGGGGAAGAGAAGAGATTCACCTTATTACACAGAGCACTCATTTATATTCTTATTGTGCCAAAATTTTTATTATAGAATCACAGAAATTCATGTGATAAGTGAGCATCATATTTAGCTGCTTAAAAATTCCCAACTCAAAAATGTTTGAATTTATTAAGGAATTACAGTTACAATTAAAGTTTTCAATTAATCAACAAGGGCACTATTTTTAAAGATCATTTTGATGTGGCATAAGAGATAGATGTGTACAGTAGAATTAAGAGAACATAATTGTCATCTCATCCTTACTTGATTCTTTATTGAAAATTATGCTCTTACTGTTCAAAACCTGTATCCTATATATTTCTAGTAACAGAACTGGAAACTCAGTCTCACACTTCTTGAATCTTAGAGAATCACATGCCAGAGGGAATTAACTTGAAATATTTTCATTAGGATTTGATATTTTAGATTGATGCTTTTCCCCCCTTGGTTTGTTTAATATTAAAGATGCTACAGTAATGGCACAATTTTGATAAGTAAGGAAATGTTGGGAGAACCATACTAATTAAATTTTAACCCCAAAAAGTAAACTGAACAAACTCAGTCAGTATAAAAGACACACAATCTAATCTAACTGCCACTTTACCTGGAAATGCATGCCCTGCTAGAGAATCCAAACATGAAATTAAAATAATGAAATAAATAACTTTAAACACTAATTTAATTTTATAAAATTAACCAGCACAAAAAATCTCATTATCACCGGTATCAAATTTGGATCACATTTCTGAAGAGCAAAAATAGCATCCTCAGCATTACATTGTGGAACTTTTCTCTCCATAGTCTTATAAAAATGAAAAATAGGATTTAAAGCTGGCAGTCTTGAACACTACAAGAAGCTAATTTACTTTACTATTACAGATTTAAGGCCGACACACCACAGTTACGTTGGGATCTTATAATAATTTTGTTCCAGATCTCTTCTTTCAGAAGTTTATTTCTTGACTATAAAAGCATTTGTTCTGAGATTCTACATAGGACCAATAATTAGGAATTTGCAGAATGCCTTTCAAATTACAACATTTTAAAAGGAAGATTTTCTTTCTTGACTGTAACAAATAACAGACCTCATTTGGTCTGTCAGCGTACTCATTTCTTTCAGGATTTTTTTCAAAAGTTAGGTGTTTCAAAAGCAAGAGTCCAAAAAGCTGGAAGTATCACTGCAGACACTGAGAAACATAAATGAGAACTTTGTGGTTCCCCTGCTGTCTAAGGAGAGCAGGCAGCAACACCGGTGGCCCTGGTGGCACCAGTCGGCCTCCTGTCAGACTCAAGCTGGGTCCAGAAGGCAGAATTTCTTCTTACAGCACAACAAGAAGGTCGTGGCTGACCAGCTTACCCTAATATGTGCATGCATGCGCTCACTCGACAGTTATATGAATTAAATGTATTTATGAGCACTGCCTGGAAAATGGTAGCTGGGTGATCTAAGCAATTTGTTAGAAAATTTTTGTGCCATTTTTAAACTGCTGCATCTTAAAAAAGATTTTCTTTCCTGATTGAAACAAACAACAAATATAACATTCACGGTTATTTGCTGATGTCACAGAAATCTTGAACTTCCTGTAATACCGTTGTTGATTCTAAAAATTAGTCAAGGTGGGAAAATATTTACCACTGAATCCCTTGATATACAACTTCTCCTAGTGGAAGGCAGGAGGAATGTGTGCTTGGCTTTAATAATTTATAACTATTCAAATTAGGTAAATTTCCTGAGCACTGAGAACATGCTCAATGTTGTAAGTGAACATGGGGGGAAAGACAACCTCAAATGAGATGAATTTACTAGAGAGATTTGCTTTCCAAAATCCAAGACAGTGAATGCACTACCTAACATGTGAAACGCGTGGGGCCTCAAGCTCTGTCATACCAAGCTTTATCACGAGCTACAACAGCAAAAAAGCCCCAAAGTCTCAGCACCTTTCACAAAAGACTGCTGAGAACCTGTAAAACTGCCACCAAACACAGACAACTCATGAATGGAGCTGTCCCCCCTCTAGCTATCCAGGGAGCGTCCTCTGAAAGTGCAGATGCTGCATGCGGCCACCGCGCACACCTGCACTCTTCCACACAACTGTGTAATCGTGTCACCCTTGCATCGCCCAAATGGCTGCCACTGTGCACATGCTGCGGCAGCACATCCTGCCGCAGCAATAACCTGTTTGGGAACATCTGTTCAGCATCATCTTACTGAGGTAAGACTCTTGACGCAAAACCTTAAAATGCAAGAAGAAGAACAGGAAACAAAGGTCTTTCTATAACAGTGGAACAATATCTACTCAGGTGCCAGGACAATTACATTTAAAAAACAAACAAACAAACAAATGAAAGCAGACAGTTATTTCTGAAAAGTGCATATACACACTGTGAGCTGCAGCACAAAACATTGTAAAACTGCTATTCTGAAGCTAATGCAGATAATCTAATGTGAAATAATTAGGCGCTTGTCTCAGCATAAAAAGTACTACTTTGTAATACTACATGTAAAGCTAATAACGTAAATTGTGGATGTGTTTATTTCTTTGCAAGTAGATCTACATTAGATGAAAACGAGGTAGTTTGTCACCCGAGTACACATCTTCTGTGTGAACTGCTAAATAAAATCAGACCTACTTTACCAGCTGAAATCAGAAGAGTTTATGGTATATTGAACCCACAAATCATAAGCCACATGCCCCAATTCCATCTTTACATTTTCACAAAGAATGACATGGGCTGACAGCCCATAGGCAAGCAATGTAAAGTCTCCCGTATAAAGATAAATACAGTGTGCAGCATTTCCCTGCTAGTCTTCAGTACATGCAACTACTGCAGTTATAATGGAATGAAACCTTTGCTAGGACTATAACAACCGGAGTATTCAGTCTCTGCCATAAGGTTTCTTCTACTCTTCTGTGGACTCAAAGAGAAAAATCAACATTTCCT